AGTATCAAAAATAATTTTTGAATCTAAATTCTTTGTTTAATTAAAATAACATTATGCTTAAGTAGTTAATTTTTTAAACGTTAACAAAACTGTAAAACTGTCTCTGAAGCATGAATAGAGGAGTTGGAGGAGCAAAATTTTCCGGATTGCTCCATCTACCGGTCAATTAGCGAATCACAACACCAGAAAATATATATATGAAAATGCCTCTTGGTACCTCTATACTAGGACCTGTTTCTATTCCGGATGCTAAAATGCATGTCACGTGACGTGACTTCAAGGGAATTCCCTAACTTTTTCACGTTTTACAAATTTACCGTAAGATCTCCCCTCTTTAGTTATAGTATCCCATATCGTTATTTAGGAAGAGACAAAACTCAATTTAGTATCTCTGTAATTAATTTAATAATAAAAAAAAAGGAATCATGTAGTAAGGGTCAACAACCCGAGATGCAATCCCTACCCTTTTGAATATTTGATTCTGCTGTTTGTGCCTTTATAATAACTACTCGTTTAAGATCTTCAGATTTAATGATTGTTCGTTAGCGTGGCTTTATTAAAGCATCCTTAACTGGTTTACAGATTTAGAAGATCGATAAAATAAAATATTTATCTACTTTGACAAGACTATTTAAAGACGCACGTCAAAGGAAAATGTGTATATATTATTAAAAAAAAGGTTTAAAAAATATATGTAAGTAATGGAAAAGCGATAACATATTAATTGCTTCGACAATACACTTGCGTTTGTTTACATGATGATAGATAAGGAAAGCGATTATCTTGATTTTGATACAGTGTTGTTAATTGGTGCGTAGATGGTTTCGCTTTGTCTGGCTTTTAATGACTCGCTGTTTTGTATCTCACAGTTAGATTCATGACAAAAAAAAGATAATGAAAAACAATTTCGACTCATCTGCAGTTGTAACTAGTGTGTTTTATTGTGTAAATACAGTGATTTTTCTTTGATAAACCTTCCCGCAAAGTTAAGCTTTAATGGAAGGTATATCAATTCTTTGTATGATTTTTAAATATTTTTTGAGAGTATACTAGCTGATATGAGCAATGATTTGGAGGAGATTTTTATATAAAAATATTTTAATGACTTTATAAATACCTATTTTTATATAAGAAAACGCATTTGATAAACTAAAATGATTTATATTTCTAAAATTTTCTAAAATAAATTCGCATAATTTATCTGTGAAGACTATTTCCTTGTTCAAATCTAATATTAGTTAATATAATTTGTTTTTCATTAAATTTTAATAATCTTTGGTAATTTAATAGCGTGAATAGAATATATACAATTTTTTTTTTATATTTATAAATATCCCATTACTTCGAAGGTTATAAAGATAATATAAATATGGAGCCTTGACATTAATTATTTTTGGTTTTATGCTACAAAGTTTATGAATTATAGTCAGTTTAAACTGAAATTTTGGCTAGTATCCAATCAGTTAGCGTGGATCTATATCCTAATTATGCATTACACAAGGTAGAAATTATCCTGTTTTATTAAAAATTTTCATGGAATTTAATATTCATTTTACTTAGTGTAGTAAATAACAGGTTGCTTATAAAATACGAATCAAGTAAGCATCAAGCAAGAAATATTTAATATCCTAGAAGAAATTAATTATTCTTGGCTTAAATTTTAAGTACGCCTTCAAGAAATGAACGAAAATATACATAATTCTGTGTACGAAAATGGAATTTTTTTTAAAAAGCTTGTCTCAGATATGAGGTTTGAATACAGACAAATCCTTCTCTGATTAAACTATAAGATTTAATATATTTTTAAGATCAAAATAGGAAGGTTTAACATATCTATATCACGAAAATACAGCTTTAACTTTTAAAATCTGTGTCAGGTCTACATAAAATACATGAAATGTAGTACTAAAACTTTTCTTCTGGTACTCTCAATTAGGCCTAATATTAAATTAAGTTTGAATATATCAGAACTTTAATAATTATTTAGATCTGTATATATTTTAAAATCTTATTTCTGTATTTAGAAAATATCTAGTAGAAACGGCAAATTTGCATTACATTAATACATATATATATATATTCCTAGTAGGATAAAAACACCTGGAGAGCAGTTATTAATTCCGCATTCGGGGCCTTTTAAAGGTTTATAATAATAATAACCAAAGGGCATTGATTCGGTACAATAAATATTTAATTATATGATAATGTGTTGTCATATTAAATATATTTTACGTAGTAGAAAATATTCTCAAAGCTTCTTTCAATCTCTAAAATCTAAAAAAATCGCTGATAGATTAAAAAAAAGGTAATTTTTAGATAGGAGACTTCTCCATCGATCCCGGAAGATAGATGATGCAGGGCATATCTGTAAAATTCCACTGTAGTTCTCCCTATAGCTTGCATATTCATGAAGGTCTTGACCATCGAATGCCATTTTCGGGGATGATGTATCGTCAGGATGTGTCGTAAGGTTCCTGAAACGTCCTTCGGTAATTATCAGCCTGTAAGATGCTTTGGGGTCTTAGGTACTGATTAGAATCTTGTTTTTCCTTCGAGGGTGGATTACTTTCTAAAGGTTGCATTATCCCATTCAGATAGCATATCGTACTTATCAAGTAGAGTTTATCCTCTTACTTTCGTTGCTTAGAAACAATTTTGAAATTTTTTTAAAAATAATTTCTTCCCTATAATGTGATACTTGATATCTTCTAGCGTATTATATAAGATAGATTTTCCTGTAGTGAATATTTTTTAAAGGTGAAATTAAAGCAACAAAAGTGAGGGGTTGAAACTTAAAATGCTTTATAAATGTAGGACGACTAAATTTAAAATAAATAAACCTTTTATATTTTAAGCTAGACGTGTAGATTAATAATCATTGTTTGCTTGGTTTCTTCCTGTGTAAAGTCGTGGGAATAGCTTCTTACTCACGATAGATTTAAATATAGAAAAAGTAGGTTATATGGTTTTAATATTAAAATAATTGTATGTCAGATTGTTTTTAAACAGTTTTTAAAATGATGAATAGGTTGCAGGTGACTTTAAACTAGTTTCTTAAACTTGAAACATTACGTGTAAAGTAATTATAAAGAAATTTTTTGACAGGTGATTATTACGGAATCCATAAAGTGTCAATACTTTATTAAGTAAATAATTGAAATAAGATGATGTATGCTTTCTATTTATAAAGCAATCTTAAGATTTCTAATATCATTCGTGACTAAATTTATTTTGTGCGCGTGTCAAGATATTGGAATTCTAAACCGTGAAAACCGTGGGAAATATTTTTATTCTTTCCTTTTTTTCCCCATTTCCGTTACGTTCCTTCTTTAATCGTGTCACGTGTCGTTGACGTCACTTCAGGCCTTCCCTCTAGTCAATGTAGTTTGAAGATACATATATATAATATAAGAAATTGTTTTCCTATTTCGTTGTCATTCATTTCCTCTGCCATTTCGAGGCGTTCCTGATAAGATTATAGGGTCACCTAACTGATGAACCCGTCCACCCAAGATCAAAATCGTGTTTTCGCCGACTAGAAAACGATCGTGAACATTGAATAACTAAAGTAATTTAAGTAATGCAAATAGTTGTACACAAATTTCGCCAAGAAAAAAAAATAATTTAAGTTTTGTGAGTGCATAAAACAACTTTAATTGTTAAAATATAAACTTATACAGTACGTGCGTGTTTTAATATATAAATTTATACATTTACATAAAGTTTTCATCTAAATAAATTACACATAACTGAAATTATTTAAACAAATTTCAATTTAATTTTTAGATACTTCATTTAAAGTGTCTTATAAACAAACTTTGTCATGCAATTTAAGTAAGAATTATATATAAACTCAATAAAGATTTGATTGGATAAACTTGAATGGAAGAAGAAGAAATAAATCTAGTTTTATGTAGGTCCGAAAATAGAAATATGATATTAGTTCAGGAATTGATACAGGTTTGCATACAAATGAATCCAATAGGAAAATCCCTAAAGGAAATCTTATCAAAATAATGACAAAAATAAAAGAAATAGGGCATACATATTGAAAGTTATTACTCGCCAAGTAAAATATGTTATATAAATACATAATAGGTTTATATAAAAGAGGAACTTGAATATTTTGTATATTGTTTAAGCTGTTTGACTCAGGTTGATTCACATATAAGTCATAGGGTTCATAGAAGAATCTTAAATCGAAACATAGAAATTATTTAGGGAAAAAACCCACAAAAGTTGAATGGACTTGAAAATAATTCATATATTTTTAAGGAAATATTATATAAAAATTATTTATCGGAGAGGATAATAAATTACAAATTTTTATTGGAAAAAATCCCAACTCGTTTTAATTTATGAAAAATTTCTTTTTATAAATTATTCAAGTGTGTAAAATAATTTTACAATAAAAATAATGATATATAAATGTAGTTTTTATTTAGATTCAACTTTATAATAACTAGAAAATATGATTAAATAATGGAGTTTTAACATTAGAAAAAATTTAAGCTATATATAGCCTTATTTTAAAAAGTTTCGATAAAAATAATAAATTTTTGAAATTTTAAAGTAAATAAACATAAAAAATTTATAGATAAAGCTGCCTTAACGATGTTACAAATTAATGTTGAAGTATCTTAAGAGGCGAAGACAAGAGAGAATTGTTAGTCATCATTTAGTACTAAATATCGGAAGAAAGTGATTGAAAAACAGAAAAAATGTTGAAATCTCGTTTAATCCTAATTATCTCACGTTCAATAAAAGGCGACTGCTCTCTATGCAAACGGCTTTGACAATATTTTGACTAACGAAGCCAATCAACATCACGTTAGAATCTTGTCGCCATTTTGAAATGCTTTGCAATCACGTACACAATTTTTATATTTTTACATGTTTTAAAATATAGCAATGCTATTAAAAATGAACTCCATTAAAATATTAACTTTTAAATAAATATATATANACATATATATATTTATATATTTTTTTTTTAATAGACACCTACGGTAGAAGATGCTAACAATTTATTTTCAACGGATCACAATAGCGTTATAAGGAAAGGTATGTAGGCCTATGAGTCATAAGAAGATTACAATGATAACACTCTTATTTTTGAAAGTAATCTGAGAACAATGTTACAGGAATGAAACCAAGAAATACAGAAAACCATAAAGATATACAATTATCGGGTGCATCTGGACAAACGGACGTATTTTGCTCAGTTCCGGGTCGTCTTTCTCTTCTTAGCTCCACGTCGAAATATAAAGTAACTGTTGGAGAAGTTCAAAGGAGGTTATCTCCACCAGAATGTTTAAACGCATCTCTACTGGGTGGTGTTTTAAGAAGGTAAGTAATATTTTTCGCAGTTCTACTGTTCATTTTTGTATATAGCCTTAGGCAATGCGTTCTAGAAACGATTCTGTACAAGAGAAAAAAAGTACAGAACGGGTGCTTGATGATAACAGGAACCGGACGATCTCATTCCCACAACCTAGATTAACTTCCGTCGTCCTTGAGCAAAACGTCTTTTTAAGTTCGACATCGATGGCCATTCACGTGACTTTGTTGGATTATCGATGATTATATATTTGCAATGCCCAACTTACTTCCTATCACGATACAGAACGATCTATTATGTAAACATTTTCCGAATCAATTTTATGGTTTAGGATTTTTTAAAATATATGTATACAATAATTCCGGTTTGAATAATAGATGTCAAGGACTCATAAAGGTTTTTTTACTTTTTTTTATAATTATGAAATTAATTACGTCTTTAGTTAACAAGATAAAATTTTATTTTCTCCAATCTTGAAATATAGTAGTAAATGGAACTTTATTATGGTTTTCTGTATGTAAAGGTAAAAAAGTTTTTTAACAGTCAACAATAAAAATGTTTTAAATACTAATTTACATGTTAAAAATGTAATAAAACTAAAAATCTACATATTTTTGTAACGATTTAGTTATAAAACTGCATTCAGCACAGTGAGTGCAGTTTTATAGACAGTACTTTGTCAGGTTTGGCTTTACATATCAAAATCTAAGCGTAATTTTGTGTTAAAATCAGGAAATTCATAATTTATTAAATTTAACTAATTTTGATTTTATTATGTATTGTACAGTTTGTGTAAAGACTAAGAGATTCCTGTACTAGGATATGTTTTTCCATATTTCCACATAACCTTACCAGGAATAAAAATGAGGAAGTAATTGTCTGTTACATTGTTACGGAAACATAGTTTAAATAGCATTCAGCGAACTATTACGTTCCTCACTGGGTACATCACCCTTAGCATCCGCCCCATTTAGGAATGTCAAGGTTGAATTATTACATTTAGGGATCATTGCTTCCATGAAACTTCAATAATACCAATAAAACGGATAAAAATGGAAAGAATCATTTCTCAAAAACTTCTTTATCATGGGTAAGTGTCTGTACATAATTCCAGATGTTCGAGATGAGCAGGTGAATGTTACGTTTCATTCACATAATATATGAATGGGAAAATGGAAAAATAAAAATTACTCCACTGGATGAGACGTTTCGAGATGTTGGAACCCATCAGTCGCCCCTTAATAGACATGTTAATAATCTGATCACGATCAGTCAACCCGTCTATAAAGCAACGTTCCACTTCCTTCAACCTCACGGCAAGGGTTAAAGACTCAACGTTGGGGGTGAAAAATAGAAACAAGTTATTCCTCTGTAATTGCTAAAACGACAGGAAACACTCATCATCATCTTTACATCAATTATTGCACAGAAGAGAAGATGACGATTAAAAAAATATCCGTTTCCTGTTAGATATCAAAATTAAAGATAAAGAGGTTCATTTGGTTCTAATCAGATTACATTAGCAGCTGCCTTGCCCCATTATGAATTTATTTAAGTCCCTATGCATGGTAATGAATTTGTAATGTTCTCGTTTATGTTGAGTACAAACCTTTGCCACGAACAAGAGATAGTATCTTTAGCAAACATTTACTGGTATTATCAAGTTATACTTTTGATGATTATGATATTGCTAAATACTGGGCATTTTTGTGAACATGTATTTTTAAAAAAATCCATGGATAATCTTGATTTTTATAAAATTCCAACCTTCAAACTATAAAAATAATAGCTATAGCGCACTGATGTATAGGAAAATAATTGCATCTATGAGAAAATAGATAAGTGAACACCTACATTTTTAACCCATTCTCTTGATTTTTGTGGACGAAATTAAAAAATGACTGGCAGAATTTTAAGTTTAGTGACCCAAAGAATCTAAATTTTTATTCCTTTTTCTGTCAGCGATTGCATCTTTCGATGTACTCGCGCTTTGCGACTGCTAACAAGCTCAGATTGGGTCACACCTGGGCACACCTGTCTGATCCTTCGAGCGTGCAGGTGTCAACATCCTAAAGAAGAAAAAGAAACTTTTCCGTTTTTACCGATGTGTAGCCATAATAATCTTCAAATCTTGTTACTTCAAAATTTCATTGTGACTAGAAAATTGTTAGGATGCTACAGAGCATTTCGTTATTCTCCTTCTTAATTTTATTCTACATAATTTCAGGGCCAAGTCAAAAAATGGTGGACGATCACTTCGAGAGAAACTAGAGAAAATCGGTTTAAATTTGCCTGCAGGTAGAAGAAAAGCTGCCAACGTCACTCTTTTAACCTCATTGGTGGAAGGTAAGAATCGCGTAACTTTAATTATACCAGCTTCTACGGGAACCGGAGAAAGAAGGGAGAGGGTCCTCTTCATGCGTGCCCTGTGCGGTCCTCATGGTTCAACGACCCGGCAGGTGGTTCCGGAGAACCAGAAGCACGTGCTGGGATTTCGGGCCTCCTCGCTATACATATCTATACAAACACATACACAAACTTTTTTCTTTATACATCTTTTTAGTTATAACTTGATGAGAGCATGCATGCGCGCGCGAAGACGTGCACAGTTTTATTCTTTCTATAACTATAACTGTGATAAAGATCATCCAGAATTTTAATGTTCTAGATAAACGTGTCGTGCGTATGTTGGTCTGTCCGTTTTTTATATTCGTTTATAGAGAGGACATGTGCATACAAACTTGTATCACATCCTGTCTCATTAATAAATACTTTTCCAGATTTATGATTTCAAGAAAACTTTAAAAAGTTATATTCAATGTAGAGCTGTATATAAAAACTCGTTAATTAGATTCTTGGCATTAATTAATATTCAATAATCACCAATTTTTAACGAGCACTCTTCAGTAATTAATTTAGATTCGATCAATCTTATTGACTTTAAAGATGCACATAGAGGGATCATTTCCTGTATGTGCAATTACCACACCTGTATAAACGGTTGCTTTCCGTTAACGAATTTCATTAGAAGAGATAATGCATTTCCCACACACACACGACATCCCCTTCTCTTTTTTTAGTGCGTGCTATTCTTAACTTCCGTTGAAGACGTGAGAAATTCTATAATATCTGATGATGCGTAATAGTTTAATAGAGAAGGATAGGTTAACACCTGCTCAGTCTTCCGCTTGTATCTTGTGTGTATCTTTCAATCAAGTGGGGGCGAGTGAAAAACGCGCGTGAGTTGGACTACCGTGTTTTGAAAACGTTAACAGAACAATGGACGACGGAAATTGGATTATTTTTCCTCCAATAGATGTCCAGTTTGATTTGGCACATTTCCAACTGTCGTGTAGACAGGTGTTTTCATATTATAATGCTCTGTCCGTTATATAAATGACACTAGCTATATATTTGTTTTTATTGTCCGGAAAGAAGAATATTTTTTTAACGATTCGCAAACATAGATGACACTTTTAACAGTTTTTTATTGTTCAAATACAGGTAAAATTATTGTTGTATAGTAGAAAACACTGGTGGGATTATAAATCAATTCTATTCGGTAAAAATACTTTTGTAATATTTTATTGTCTTATAGATTTTTACTGGTCCGTAAGTTTTAGTATAAACCTTGCTATTTGTTTTTTAATTTTTACAGTTTCAAAGTATATATTTTATAGATCAGAAATATTTTCTTTTAAGTTCAACACTTCAGTAGCATATATTTTTACTATCCATAAATTTAACTATTAAACAATATTTGTACACAGTAAAAAGTTGTTAATGATAAGTTTTTCTTACTGTATAAACAATTTGAAAGTATTGTTTTAACATTGTTATATTTAGCCTATTATAGAATAGAGAAATATAACATAAAATTATTTTTATCCAAAAGTATAGTATTTCTTGCACTGAAAAACAGATTATATAATAATTATTTCTTAATATTTGTCTAGAAAAACAGCCAATAGCGTTACAAATATCATCACTCAATAAAAGAACTAGTTTTTACTTTGTGTCCTCAATCTCTCTCTCTTTGATCTAAATATTCTCAATTATTTCTAATTCTTAATGTAAGTGTATCTCTGACTCAACCGAACTTTTATAATATTCTATTTAAAGTCAGTTTTAATAGGAAAAATATATAGATGTTTTCTTAAATAATTATATGATAATGTGTTGTCATATTAAATATATTTTACGTAGTAGAAAATATTCTCAAAGCTTCTTTCAATCTCTAAAATCTAAAAAAATCGCTGATAGATTAAAAAAAAGGTAATTTTTAGATNATAGTTGCCTTAGGATCATTTATAACTTCCTTCATACTTGTAAGAGGCACAATACTTAAAGGGTTGTACTTCTAAAAAAATAATAAAGAAATCTTAAATTTTTACGGAGAATTTTATTAATTATTCTTAATATTAAACTTTTAAATATTGCTAGAAAATTGATTTTACTTATTCTGTTATCAATTCTTTTGTATAGAAATTTTTAATATGTTTTAATCTAAAACTTAGGACTTGTTAATTTATAATGATTTTTATCTAAATTTTTATTAATTGAATTATAAATTATAATATATATATATATATATATATATACCCTTCATACACATAGAATTACATATATTTTAAATACTTCATAATTTAATTATTTTAAGGAAATATAAAATTTTATTTCGCTGAAATATTTTTTTATAATAATTATTTGTAAAATTGAAAAAAGAGAAAGAATATTATATTAAAAACAAATTAAATAAATTCCACGAATATTTGCAGGATATAAACTTAAGACATTAAACTTCATCTTATATTACTTACTAACAGATAAAAAATATATCTTTTCCTGAGATTTTTTAGATCTATCTGTGTGTAAATGTATAAGTTTATGAAGTTATAAAAATATTTTCGAAAAATTTGAATATTTGAGTTACAATTTTTCTGAAGAAAGTTAAAATTTTTTATTAAAATAATAATTAGAATACTTTAAAACATTGTAAGATTATATAAGGCATAGAAGTTCTATAAATACTTTTAAATTAATATTTTTAATATTTGTTTAGGTGAGTCTATTCATTTGGCTAGAGACTTTGGATATGTTTGCGAAACAGAATTTCCATCTCGTCAAGTTGCAGAATATATATGTCGACATAGTGATACAAACGATCTATTCAGGAGAAAAGACTTGATTATCGCCACTAAGTGAGTAAAAAAAAATTAATTTTAGCAATATCTTTCCTTATTTTTCATGACAATTTAATACATTAATCTGATTTAATATTTTAAAAAAAATGGTATAAATTTCTTTTTTAACTCGGATTTTTATCGCGCTTTTTCTTAGTACGCTTTCCGACAAAGCTATTAAACTTAATATATTATTATCTGTACAAAGTATACACAAAGCATGCGTAGAGCTATTTTATTTCATAAGAATATTTGGAGGCGTTACTTATTACAGGAGTCAGTTACGGTCAGGATAAGAGCGGAACTATGTTACATGTTGTAATCTGAACCCAAGCCTCTATCAGTGTATATATCCTCCTGTATTGCATCTATAAGAGCATGGATAGAGGAAATTAGTGGGTGTGACTGAGTTCTATCTCAGGTATCGATCTGCAAGGCCACATCCCTAAAGGGACAGACAGGAGGGAATGAGATCTTTCTTCGAAGAGGTGTAACCAAAGCCTCTAACGACATCTAACGACTACCTGACGAACCTGGTATAGACACGTGATTAATTCGTTCGAAATTTTCCCGAGTATTGCAATACGTGAGTGTATATATAGATACATATATATACACGAAGGTGACCTTGTTCATTCGGCAATAATTTCGAGATATATTTTCCCCCCTTTTGTTAGAAGTTCTACTTGTCAACGAGGTATTATAACTAGGTCTACTTTTTCTAAAAAGCGGACAATTCTTGCCCTTCTTAGGGCCTCATGTCCCGGAACCTTAGCTTAATCACAGACTACATTTCTTAACTTGTCCTAACTCTTATTGCTCACTATATTTATGTAGTTTCATATTTTGAATGTATAGCTAGCTCGTGTATGATATATAGTATTTTTAAGTTAAATTCTATCGGGGAAAAAAGTTTAAAAAACAATTTACATACATTACATTATATATAATTTTTTTATAAGTAATAATTTATTTTATTTTATTTTTTGTAGACAAATACTCAAAGAATTTATCGATTGCTTAAATCAAGATCGTTCACCCCTTTGCAACACAAGGCCTCAAATTATTCTGGAACCGACCATTCAACGTCACTTATCACATTTCTCACTCATAACTCATGGTTTTGGTAGTCCAGCTATCGTAGCTGCATTAACATCGTTTCAGAACTTTTTGAACGAATCAATCAAATATATAGACAAGCAAATCAGTGGTAATGCCTATACTACACAAGCTGGACATGTGACTAATGCCAACATAGTAGAACCCAAGAAAGAAGAAAAGAAATAGTTGAATTATTTGAAACTGTGCTCAAGTGTATAACCCTTTTTTTAATCATATAATAGTGCCAGTTCATGTGAGGAAATTGTTTTGTTTCTCAAACACCACCTCCTCTAGAAAATCATCTCAAACGAGCCAAGTTATGTGCCACTGACTTAAAAATTATATAGCAATTTTTGCAAACGTGAATGGAACAGTGCCACAATCATCATAGATGCCATAATTTGCCATAAATTTTCATATTCTCCCATTTTGCAATTAGAGTATTAGCTACTTATTCCAATCTCTTAATCCGGGTAGAGAATGGAACAAGCAGCAGTTCTACAAGTTATATATATATCTATATATATATAAAATAAATATAAAGAAAAAAGAAAAAATATATATATATATAGAAGAGAAAATACCCCCCTTTCTNATATATATAGAAAATATAGATATACAAACATCATCAGAGTCCGTCCTTGTATATGTCATATATTGTACGTGATGTCGTGTGCCTGTATGTGCGCGCTCCCCCCCCCCATTTTTTTTAAAGGTTATCCCTCTCAGCCATTATTTCTGGCAGTAATTTAAAGTGATCAAGGCGGATTTTCCGTCTTTTAAAGTGGTGTGGTTTGGGCTATTTAAGAATATTGTGCACTAACTAAACTAACACCACTTCCTCTTAAGCATAGTATTGTGTTATAAAATTCATGGCATTGCGGGTACCGAAAATTTCGATAGAAAAATGAATATAGAAACTCTTCTGACAATAATGTTTGAAGTTTATCTTCGAATATTTAAAATATATTTTTTTTTATTTTGGTGCTGACGAAACGTTGCTCAAAATTTTATAAATTTCTTTTCTGTACTTAAAAACATTTGTAAAAACGAGATATGGGAATTTTTTTTAAAAAAAAATCTGTGTTTAGAAATGAATTTATTGTTAAGAACACAAATCATCACAAAGATAATTTTTCTTGTTGATTGTAATGTTGCGATGAACTGTTAATTATTGTAAAATAAATTCATAACAGTTTTTATATAAATGTGAATTAATCAATATAAATGTTCTAATAATAAACTATTAGTATTTTATTTATTTAAAAAAAGTAAAACTGCAGAATCAATGAAGTGTAGTGTTTTCACAGATTAAGAAAATATGCATTACTTGATACAGAATTACATAAGATTTAGTAATGCTGCTGAAATTTTTATAGTTTGGTTTATATTAAATTTGCTCAAATTTATGATTTTTCTAGTCTTTATTTTTTAAAATATTTACAAATCATTTTTTAAAACTTAATATGCTATTAAAGTCAAGCGACTTACATATTATATACTACATTTGCTGATTTTAAGTGCTTATGCTATTTAATTAACATTATCCTTAATTCAAGCAGAGTAATTTTTAAAAATAACTTTTTAGTAAAATTCTTTAAAAATGTATTTTAGAGGTTTAAATTTATTTAACAATATAAATTTCAGTCAACCTAGTCATGATTTAACTGTTTTGCAATTGGTTTTCGCGGTATAAAATTGCATTCTAATAAATTTTTAATGGAAAATTGGTGTTTTAGAAGATTGTAATATATTTAAACATAATTTTTTAAAAAATATTATCTACCTAATGATAAATTTATAAAATGAAGTGGCGTTTATAATATCTTATCCAATTGTTTTTTAAGTTTAATAACATGATTTTAAATGCTTAAGCTATTTTTCTGACTTAGTTTGATTTTTATTAATATTTCTATATCATTCGAAAAATTATTTAAACTCGTGGTTAATCCATACTGCGAGATACGACAAAGGCAACTACAATTATCAAAGGCTAATAAATAAGTTGTATTTCTAGTTCGATGACGATAATATTTATGTATATAAATTTGAATTTTACAATATATAATTTTTCATTTACGCTTGACTTCTTTCAAAATATAATTTTTTAATTCTACAAAAAAATTTGAAACCCGTGATTATCAATACTTAGTGACAAGGACGTCGCAGAAATCAAGGTTTTGCAGCAAGCAATTAAAATTTTCTTATAACTAAATCTTAATGATGTGCAAGATTTATTTATTTTTTTATCTATTGATTATTCCTAATATAAAATAATACGAATATTTCGTGACTAAAGCAGTTATTTAAGTCCTTGTAGAAAGCCACTAAATGAATCTCGACACGTGACGTCAGTCGACCTTCTAAATAGGGATGCAAGGTCAAAGAATGGTTCCGGAACAGCAAAAAAAATTCCTATTATATAGTTTTTTAATGTCATGTAGAGAATGTTTGACCTATTACTAGTTATGAATTATAGGAACTTAACGTGCAAATTTTTTGTTTATGACCGTCTATTCATAATCATCTTCAACTCCAAGAAGGAATTTAGATATATATAGGCTATACACACACACAGATTTAGACGACTTCAAAAAAATTTTAATTGCTAAATATTGACTTTTAGTTCATAAATTATTTCTTAAGAATAAAAACAATTTATTAAAAAAAAAATAATCTATAAACATAGCTTAATGTAAAATAACTTTTTAAAAGCAATAAATTTCATACAACTTGGGCATCATACAAATAATTGAATGTATATCTTCGATTTAACATTAGTAAAATATTAATGTTAATTAGTGTAAGATAAAGCGGATGAAGTAAATTTAGCTTTTTACAAAATTCTGTTAGACTCAAAGATGAATTTAAATCAATAGCTTACGATGATTCTAATTTTAATATAATGGATTTTGTTATACTTACTAAACATGTGTTGTACATCTGTTCATATAATAAATTAATAATCATCTTGAGATGTCCTAAATCTTGGAATAATTAACACCAACTGCATTTTCAATTAAGCTTAAAGCTTTCCTTTCGCTTTTGAATTATTTTTCCAAAGAGTAATTTTGAGCTGGGAAATTAGTTTGAGTTGAAAAAACAATTGATTTAACAAGAATAATTCCTTTACAAATAATTTTAATCTATTATTACTATAACATAATAGTAATATACGCATTTGATTGTTTAAAGAATAGTTTTTAAGAAATAAAACTATGAAAAAAAATTTTACTTAAAAAATTAAAAAAATAATTTTCTTATTGAAGATTGTCGATAACAACTTTCTTAAAGCTAGAAAACAGTGATTTTAAGTACTTTTTAAAACATGTAAACGGAGAAAATATAGGCCTAATTTTGTAATGGCGCATCTAAGAATATTTAATAGTTTTATTTTCGCTGTTTGTTAAAATCGAGTTTATTGAATTTAATGTGTAATGTAATATAGAATTGTTTACTAGAGTTATTAGGATTACAGCTGAATTATTAGAGATATGTCATTATATAAATTCTGCTTTAACATGAATTTACTGCTGTTTCGAAAATATTTATCGATAAAAAAATATAAAACCTAAAATAATTTTCATATATTTTATCATAACTTTTGAATTTTAAATGATAATCTTTTAAAGTTAAATTTTTTATTAATTATTATTTATAAATTTCCAAAGATGTAAATGTCATTAGAATTATACAGTAGAAATTTTTAATAAACATTTCTATTTGTAAAATATAGGCTAATAATAATAATAATAATTTCAAACTGAATATTTTAATTATGGGGGGAAACTAAAACAACCAATTGTATAATATCTATTCGAAAATTTTCAAGTGTTTTTCTGATTTATTTAACATATAGATTTAGAAAAAATTTATCAAGTAAAACATTTCTATAAAAAGACTAATTTTTCTTTCTTCTTTCTTCAACAATTAGAATTCTAATTGTTGTATGAAACATTTCTAAGGAGAAAGTTTTTTAAATTATGTACTGTACTGCTAGAGACGTCGAGAGCTTGTATGGGGCCCGGGTTGCCATGTTTTTTAAACAAATGATGTACGTATAACGTTTCTTTATTGATAAAAGTCGATCATGAAGATTGTTTGTTACTAAAAAGCAAGCAACGAGTTGCTTAACTTTCCCGCCAACATTTGGTGGCGCCATCTGTTATCTTATATTATTACATAACTTTTTTATTATTAACTATTATATAATGGCAAAAATATTAATTTTGAGAGTAGAGATGGGTTTTATAAAAAAAAAAATTGTAAATGCTAATATCGAGTAAAATCGTTATTAATTCGACCCTACTGGAGATACTGTACAGTACATACGACTCCCTTTATCTGCCCATCCCTTCGACCTTTAATCACCAAAATTTGATGGTATCAATCTTTCTAATAAACAAATTTCCCTGCAGAATTCCAGAAATTTCAACAAAAAGCACAGGCGTTAAGCTTCAAACAGACTGAATAAAATCTCCCACCACACACTAACATACAGAAGTTTTTGCATTTTAGATGTTTCAAGGTATTCCAAGTTCAAAATGTAAAAGTCTTGGGAAGGGAGTAATTTTTTGACCGATTTCCATACTTTTCCCTCTGTTACATATAACAGCCGGGAAAGTAATAACTTAATATATAAAATAGGGGTCCGTAGGGATCCCTAAGTTTTTTTATAAACCCAAGCTTACTCCTCTCAATGGTCCTGTATACAGCATACATAAGTCAATAATAAAATATATAGAATATAAAATGCTAATACACGTAAAAACAGTATTAACATGCCAACGTTTTTTACTTTAGAAAAGTATTTAAATAATATATAACAAAATACAGTATAGTGCTTTAAAAATACATTGCTTCTGCTGAATATAAAAAATTTTAAATTAAATTTTTCAATTAATACGAAATGTTAATTAGCATTTTTGTATTTCATGTTCTATTTCTTGAATGTTACATAGTAATCAGTTAAAATCACGTCTTAAAAAATTGATATAAGTCAATACATTCTTTTATGTCCTGATTCATTAAAAGCTTATTAAAATAGTAAAGATGATATGTAAACTCCATGTATATTTAACAACATATCTATGTACAGTACATACATAAAGTTTTTTTTTAAACTTAAACTTAAAAATAAACCAAGTTTAACTATATTATTATTATATTTAATCGAATATAAAGGAAAAAGCATGTTTGGTAAAAAAATATA